TAAGCAGGGTAGGGGCTGTGGCTCGGTGCTGGAGACCAGCTTGGCATGCTGCAGATCCTGGGTTCAATAGTCAGAATCTCCAGGAAGGGCTGTCTGAAACCCTGGAAAGGCACTGCTAGTCAGTTCTGATCCTTCTAGGCTTGATAGATCAAGTGTCTGACTCAAAATAAGGCAGCTTTTTATGATCCTATGAACCTCTTGCACACACAAGTCTTAAAAACAACACACCTTTCTTAAAGCAGGAAACTGTATAGAATATTTTTAGAACACCTTGATGAAAGTTTGTTATGACCAGGTAAAATTACTTCGGTGGTCATTTGTACTGTAAGGCATAAAGCAGCTGAATGCATGAGTGAAATGAAAGCCCACAAAGTCCTTCTGAATCGGTCTCCCCCAGGCCAAAACGGCCTAGCACAGCTCTGCTTCTCAAGCACAACAGGCAGAGATGCTTTGCAGTTCATCAATTTGAACCCTCCCACAGAGTTTGCAAGGTAAAACATCTGTCTTCCCCCCCCCCCCCACATGATAAAACTAGAGGGGCCCATCAAGTTGTCACTGACTTGTGGTTATGCATAAATGCAGTTGTGAAGAAAATGCTTGGGGTTTGTTCAGCGGATTCAGTGGATAGCTTGGATGCAGCTGATGCAGTCTCCCCATGGTGGTTGTTTCAGTTTTCACTGCACTGGGGCTGGTGTTCCAACTGGCTGTAGGGACATTTCGGATGTCTTTCAAACCCCAGGCCAAAATGGACACGTGTCCTATAATTGCATCTTTTTTTCCCTTCTTATTTCATTCTAGAGTAGGCGCATGAGGATGATTTGGATCTCAGAACCCCGCTACTCTGATGTTAAACTTCTGATTCAGATCTTTAAATTAGTGGGCTATCAATCCAGAGTGAAGCTCCTCAACTTGGTATAGATGAAGAATGCCAAAAGAAAAGAACAGAAAAGGTGTAGCTAACTTGGTTGGCTTACAACTCCTGTCAGCCTTCCCAGCATACTCAGAGATGAAGGATGATGGAAGCTGTAGGCCAAAACATCTGGAGGGCTGCAGATTTCTCATCCCTGTCTAGGTACACATTCAAAGTAAGGTTTGTCTTGGTCCTTAGGCACCCTGAATCTGTAAATAATGATCTGAATAGTTGTGAGATTTGAACATGGATGTGAAATGCCAGTCGGTCCATTCCTTTCTAGAGAAATGGAGAAGTCCACTCTGTCTGAACAGTGTGATTTTTTAAAAGTCACTGGAAATAGGGTTGTGCTTTCCCCCTTTTAACCATCCCCTTGAAAGGTCTAATGCCTCCACGTGTCCAAACATGAAAGGAAGCTGTTTGTCCTCCTCCTCCTCCTCCAAAAATCATTCCACTGACAAGAAAACATTAGCTCAGGTTATTTTTAAATGTGTTTTTGATTTAATTTAAATCATGATTGTGTTGTAGAAACACCCCACAGCATTAAATAGTTTCTGTTCTTTCAGTGTTTATTGTAGGGTACACTTTGTACTGTTGGAAACTTATTGCTTTGTTACTCTGACCTTTTAAAGAAAAATGAACCTTTCCATAGTGGTTCTGTTTAGCTGTTATAGATGTGGCCGCCCTTCTCTTTTTCCCCTTGGAGTGGTTCAGAGGAACGTGTGGGTCAGGGGGCTAAAGCAGGCCTCATTTCTTAGCCTCTTCCTGCTTGAAACACCACTTCCAGATTCCTGAGGGTGCCCGTGATGGAGGGTATCATTTTCAAATCTTTGTGCTGTCAGTTGCAAAGGCCATCTAAATTCCTAGGTGCAGCCTGACTGGGAGATGGTTCAGATAAGTCACTTCTTCCTACAGGAATAGGAGAAAGTCTGCCGATTCTATGGCATACAACAATTACAAGGCCAACCGAGCCATTACTTTGGATGTCTTTCTAACAGTGATGCCTCTCCCACCCTCATTTTCATTCTGGGGTAGGCATGGCCCCAACTCACATCCACAACTGGGACTCTAGTGTGGGTGCAGGGGACCTTTAAGATCTGGATAACCCCCCTCACACACAGATACCTACTCAGTATGTCTAGCATACTGGACATGAAGCAGAGCAGACCACATGGAGAATTGCTACGTGTGAGGACCTATTTGTAATAGTGCCAAACATACGGGTGTTGAAAAATATTGTATGCAGCCACTAATTGTAGCTTCCGCCAGAAGTGGACAGTGGTAATTTTGGTAGGTAGCAGAGATGCTACTCAGTGCTGGTAAGAGCCAGCAGGAGGCACCATAAGGATGAAAAGGCGGGAGGGGGGGGTGTTGATCCCAAGAGACTGGTGAGAAAGAAGTCTGAAGTACCAATGAAGAAAAGCAGACCTGTTTTGTCAGGCAGAAGCAAATGAGAGAGCCATATCTCACAGTGAGATATATCTCGAAATATTTGACTAATTACGGTGAGAATCTGGACATGCCGCCGTTCAGGCTACCTGATAAAACAATTGCATTTGGTTGCTCATGCTTTTTAGTTTACTGAGCATAATGATGTGTCTGCGTTCCTATTCCAACGTGACTCAAAGACTGTTGTGTTAAAATGGGGGTTTGTATCACTCTAAACAAAGAGATCCTCTTCAACATGTGTGGGGAAATTTTGAAAAAAATCTATTTGATCTGGATGAGAAATTTGTGATAAAGGATGTCCTTGTCATTTTGCTCAATGGAAATATATCCTGTTTGATTTTTTTGGCAGGAGATAATTTTGATTGAATGGAAATGAATGGATGAAATGCCAGAAAAACATCACTTTTCCTGTCTAGCTCTGTCAACAGAGCTAGATAGAGGAAGGAGAGCTCAGAATTCTTATATACTGATAAAAGAATTTGAGGTCAGAATATGCATATTATATTACTTGATCCCATAAACATAATCACAGCTCACTGGGTAACTTTGGGCCAGTCACTGACTCTCAGCCTAACCCACCTCACAGGGTGATAATATTAATAATAATGCAACATTTCCATACATCGGAAGTGGGCAGACTTCAGGATTGTGCAGTCTATTTTGTTTTTTATAACAAAGTTCACCAACTACAGCTGGGTGCAAAATATGCATGAACCTAAGAGGATGCTGGATCTTGGTCTGCCAAGGTTCCATTTAGTACCGATTGTGCTTGCGCAGTGGCCAATCAGCTCCTTGTCAGGAACTGATAAGTAAGACATGAGAGCGACAGCATCCTCCCATCCCTGTTCTTCATCGACTGGTAAACAAAGGTGTATTTTCTCTGCAAGATGAAGGTAGCATATAGCCATCAGGACTAGTAGCATGCTATCCTCCACAGCTGTGTCTAATGGCCTTTTAAAGCCACCCAGATTGGTGGTGTTCCTGGCATCTTGTGGTGGGGAATTCCGGAGTTTGATTACGTGTTGTGTGAAGAAGTTCACCCTTTTACCTGTCCTGAATTCCACACTAATCAGCTCCGTGGGTTCTCCTTGGGTTCGAATATTATAGGAGACAAATACCTCCCTACCCATCCTTGCCATAACAAAGTTTTCTGCTCCTCTGTTGTGTCTCCACTAACTTGCCTTTTTTAAAGTGAAACAGCCTGGGATGCTATAAAAGGGTGGGTTGGTGGTGGTGGTAAAGGGGATGATTGCTGTGGTTGCATGTATGTGAATATTCAACACAAATATTTGTCATATTCGCAAGCATGCAACCCCCTCAACCTTCCTAAGGTGGTGGCAGGGGTGGCTTACTTTCTGGCACAGAAAAACCTCTGTCTGCCCACTCAGCCAAGGCAGGAAAGGTTTGTGCCAGAGCAGATTTTGTGCTCCCATCTGGACTTTTGAGAATCAACACGAAAAGGAGGGGTGATGACTGCATCGGTGCAACGGCTGCTATTTTTCCTTGGCCTTCTGGGGATGTGTTGGGGAAAGGAGGGAGCAGGGCTGGTGTCATAGCAGGCATAGTTGGGTACCTGCTGAGAGCACCCATCCCAGCAGGGGGGCCCTGATGAGAGTCCCTTGGAGAAGCTGCTCCTCTTCACTGTGCCACCTGTGTGTGCCGCGCAGGCAGCAGCAGTGTGAGAAGGAGCGGCAGTGGATGCCACAGCCTCCTTGGGTGATGGCTCCGTGCTCTGGCACGCTGCAGCAGTGATGGTGGAGCTTCCTGTCAGTGCAGAAGGAGGTCCATAGCAACTGATGGTCTTCAGCAACTGTCCCTGGCAGTTGATGCTTTCTTGAACCTGGCAATTTGCAGAACTTGCTCAAAGATAATAAGAGGTGTCCATGAAGAAATCCTTCAACACTGGAAACTAGAAATGCCGCAAAATCCTCCTAATTATTCTGGCATTGCTGCAGGCTTAATATTGGCATGGAAGACTCACATTTGCCAAAGCAGATACATGTATCTGTACAATACAATATGCACATATGAGAAAGCAAAGAATTCTCCCAGTTGCTTGTTTGTGATTCTTTGACATCCTAGCATGGAGGCACATTCTTGCCCATTGAAAGCACTGCCTGGCCTGTGATTGCTCATGGTGCCATGTTGTAGCTTAAAAGACTACCTCTGTGCATGGTCTTCCTGATCCTGAAATACTGGGGCTCTTTAGCTATGCAGTCATGCTTGCTTTGGGGCCTTAGCACCTCTTGGCTTTGGGCATGTATTGATGCATTGGCCAGGAAAATGCAACTTCTAAATGAATCATTGTGATAGAACTGATGAGGCAAACTCAAACTTACTCATGCAGTGCTTTTTCAAAGCAATCAATGCATTTCATATCCATATTTGCAGCAGGCCAGTATTATTATGCCCACTTCACAGATAAAGGAAGTACGTCTGAAAGTTGTTTACTTGCCCCTCGATATTTATAATTAGGAAATTTAAAGTGGGGCATCCCAGTCTAATCCTTTTAATTACTTGACTAACTTTTCTACATTTGACTACTTTTGATGCTCAAAATTTAGCATTTTCTTCTTTTTAAATACATTTTCTTGGTGTTCTTCACAGGGGAAGCCCTGGCACATGCTCTGAACTGGAGAACATGGGACTGATAGGTGGATCAAAGACTGCAGGGAACCAGACAAGCCCAACCAAAATGGACCTGTACTCCAGAATGAACTTTCCAGGCTTTGCCAAGTCATATAGTGACTTGCCTGCTGACCCCAAACAAGATCTGAAGGACAGCACCAATTTGGTTGAGGTGCAGATTGTTCTTATCTGTGCCTACTGCGTGATCATCTTGCTAGGGGTAGTGGGCAACTCCTTGGTGATCCACGTCGTGATCAAGTTCAAGAGCATGCGGACCGTGACTAACTTCTTCATTGCCAACTTGGCTGTGGCTGATCTGCTGGTGAACACGCTCTGCCTGCCCTTCACCTTAGTCTACACATTGCTGGGAGAATGGAAGCTCGGTCCAGTACTGTGTCACCTTGTGCCTTATGCCCAGGGCCTGGCTGTGCAGGTATCTATTGTTACCTTGACAGTGATAGCCTTGGACCGGCATCGCTGCATCGTGTATCACCTGGAGAGTAAAATCTCCAAGAGAATTAGCTTCTTAATTGTTGGGGTGGTCTGGGTCGGCAGCGCTCTTTTAGCCAGTCCCCTGGCCATCTTCCGGGAGTATTTCTCCATTGAGCTCAAGCAGGACTTCAAAATGGTGGTCTGTGCAGAGGCCTGGCCCAGGAAAGGGCAGGTAAATTATGGCACTATCTACAGTGTCTTGATGCTCCTGATCCAGTATGTCTTGCCTCTTGTGATCATCTCATATGCCTACATCCGTATCTGGAGCAAGCTCAAGAACCATGTCAGTCCCGGGGCAGCAAATGATCACTACCACCAGAGACGCCGGAAAACAACCAAGATGCTGGTGTGTGTCGTGGTGGTGTTTGCCGTCTGCTGGCTGCCCTTTCATGTCTTTCAGCTGGTCAGTGATATTGATAGCCAAGTGTTGCATCTGCAGGAGTACAAACTGATCTACACCCTCTTTCATGTCATTGCGATGTGCTCAACTTTTGCCAACCCCCTCCTCTATGGCTGGATGAACAACAACTACAGAACAGCGTTCTTGACAGCTTTCCAGTGCGAACAGCAGCTGGATTCCTTCCATCCCGAGGTGTCACCTGCTCTCAAAGCCAAGAAGAAGCTGGAAGCAAAAGAGAGTCAGTGCAACGGACTGCCATTCGCACAGCCCACAAGCGTCTAAGGGCTCAACTAGATGTGATGATGAGGATACGCGAATCCATCTTTAATCCTGCTCTCCTCCCATTTTCCTGATCAAAGCTTTCTCTCCCAAGTGGACATGCTCTGGGAAATAACACTTCCATGAGCCAGGACTGGGAAAACAGTGCAGAGGGAAAGAGGACCACCTCCACTGTAGCCCTGGCCCAGACTTCACTCAGCTTGTGCTTGCATCAAGAGATGAATCGCAACAGCTCCATGACATGTTTTATTTGGCTCTCAACAGAAGTGAATCTTGATGAAGAGAGAAAATAAGGGAGATAATTTGAAGCAGATGCACTGTTGATAGACACACGCGTGTCTAAATCATATGAGTGGGAAGAAATGTGAGAAGCTCAAAGATTCTCTTCCCACATTTTCAAGGGACTCAGCTGGTTGTCAAGGATAAAGTCAGTTCCAAAGAAATGCATGTGATGAGCCTGCTGGGCATACAGTGAGTTCAGAAGTGCAGAAGAAAGAGTTTACCATTGTCCCTGTAAAGAAAAGAAAGTGGGAAAGAGAAAAGGCAGCAATAGTCAGAGGCTGATAACAAAAAACACTTGAATGTGGGGGAATACGCTGCAGACCTTGAATCCAAAGGATCAAATACCCTCTTCTGACAAAGCTGGAAATTGCTGTTGATGCTCAAACTTGTTGCATCATTTTTCCCTTGAAAGGATATGGTTTTCAAAATGCCAGGGAACATGAGGCGTTGCCTTGTTTTTATCTTGGTTCTATATTAAGCCATGTTAAGCCATATTGAGCTGATACCCAAGTTAGTAAAATGTAAAGATTTACTTCTAAGCCATTTGTACCTAGCCACAGAGGTGATTGGGGGATTAAAACAGGCCAAATCTTTGGGGCAAACCTGTTCTGCAAAATCAGAAGACTCTGGCCCACCAGGGTTCCATGGAGCCACCTTGGATACCTCCAGAAGGTGGAGTTGGCCTCCAAGCCCCACCCTCTGGAGAAATCCCCTGTGGCATCACTGATTGGAGGCTGGAGATTACAGCAGGGATGCAGTCAGTGAGGAGAAAGCTGCTGGCTGCATTCCTCTGCCGTGTGCTCCACCTGTGCTTGGATGATGCACTCAGTGGTTGCTGCTCCCAGTGCCAGTTGAGTCCCTTTCTGTGTGCTGAGAAGGAAAGGCAGCATTTCCCCACCCCCAGACTCAGTTTGCCGCTCTCAGCACAGGGAAAGGCAAACTGAGTGAGGCTGGGGCAATGATGATGGGAAAAGTCACGTCCACTAGCAACACCATCTGTTGGAGGTTCTGGGGAGACCCCATCACATTCTGGTTCTGTATCTGGTTTGAGAGTGTAGCTTTCTCACAATCCTACCTTCTGGGTTCCTCCCATTTCTTTCCAAATTTTGCATGCAATTAATTGGGATGTGCATGTGTTGAGTTTTATTATTCAGAAATAAAAATCTGAGCTTGCAGTTATAAGACATGCATATGGAAAAAACAGTACCAGGAGAAGAAGAAACAAAAATGAAATTCAGTGAGAAGAGCAACAAGTGGCTCTCTTTTTATTCTCCAGGCAAGTCTCAGGTATTCTGGGCTTGTGCCTTTGACTGAGGAAATGGCAAATGCTTGAAACTGCAGGGTTGTTATTGTTTTCTAGCCCAGTCCATCATTCAGTGTTTGGAGGCAATCCAGTTCATCCTCACTGGTACTAAATTGACTGGGATCCTGGCATTTGTCTTAAATGGGCTGCAAATTGAACTGTTGGCATCATCTCATCAGGTTTGAAGCTGTGCCTGCTTTATTGCTAGGTAGGAAATCAGGGCAGTATTTGATTGTGCAGAAATGCTGCTCCCCTAGCTCAGTGGCCGTGTGCTTTGCGCAGAGTGTGCTTCTGTGTCGCACATCTTGCCTTGGATCTTCCTTGTACGCTGTTGCACCTGGATGATTAAAAGCACCCAAATGCTTCTCCAAACCAGGCAGTGACATGCTGCCATATAGGAACCAATGAAGCTTGCATGAGTGGTGTTAATAGTTATGTTCTTTATGCTCAGGTATAAGAGATGCCTCTCCTGTAAATGCACAGCTAGGAATGGCAATGCACAGTTTGTCAATGTCTTCTGCTTGCCTTTTTGTTTTGATTGTTTGGAATCATTAAAGTTATCAAAACAAAGGACCATTAGCCGTATTTCCCCTCACCCTGACTTAGGGTAAATTACATGCACGAGCATTAGAGCAATCTGTTTAAATATGTTTTGCCCCAACCACACAGAAAATGGGGATATTAAAGAACAAAAAACACCCGAGTCACAGCATTTGTATCCTCCACTGTTCACACTGCACCACCCTGTTGTCTGTCTTAGCTTTTATCCATGCAGGTTTCAGCACTGGAAGTGAGCCTGGCTGGGGAACGTCGGCCTGGCACGAGAGTAGATTAGTGGTGGGCCAGAGACAGAATTCTGTCCTTTTTCCCCTCTGCTTGACTAGGGCAGATCTGCATTTAATGAGACTGTAGGTCTCTACTCATAGTCACGACTAGACTCTGGCTCTTACGGAGCCGTTCACATGATCCTGGAAGGCAAAAACAGCTGTCTGGGGGTTGAGCATAGAACCACGCCATGGCTTACGGAGCTTAAAACTGAGAAACGAGACCCCTTGGAGATGGGACTTGTTCCCCTTCATGACAAGAGGCATGTTGCGTCACGACATGGGTTTTCTGACTTGGTGTCCTTATTCCTGCAGACCCATCTCTGGTCTCCTACAAGCACCCCGGTCCTCGTTATTTTGTGTATTTAATTTCTTAAGAGTTTGAAGTGTAACCTGGCATGCTGTAAAACAAAGTACCTTTCTCCAGCACTGTGCTTGAGTTCAAGGGTTGCTTGTGTTTTGGAGCTAAGGATCCCTTCTCTTCCTTGTACTTAACATTCTTGAGTAGGTTATTTTCTTGCAGTTTTCCTACATTGTCTTCTGGGAAATCAGTGCCCATCAGGATGGCCATTTTAAGAGCTATGGCAGTCATTTTGTGAAAGTGCACGCTCGAAATTCTAAATATGCCCATATATCCAAAATGCTTGCAGCCCCTTCACTCGCATGTTCAGATGCATCTTCACGATGACATCACACATTCTATGGCTGATTTCTAGCTCTGGAAAGAGGTCCTAAGGCTGCGCTGATCCAGAGCTCTGTTTGCTTGGCTGTGTGCTCATGTCCTGATTTTTCTTTTTTGCGATGCATTTGCGTATTATCTGACACCACTCTAGAAGCTTGCATGAGTTGGTTGATGGTAGCATGACAAAATTTCTAAGTGTATATGACACATTGTAGTGTGGGTGCCATGCTAGCATAATTTCTGCATGCTTCTTGGGATGAAGAAAGCAATCAGGAGGCCACAGTCACTTGTCTTGCTGGGATTTTGGCCCCACCTGTCTGCCTTTGGGCCTGCCCACCCCTGGAATAAGACCCTGTGGATTTCTCCAGAATGGACTTCCTCACGCAGGTACTTCACCCCCACCCCCCGCAGTGAATGTGACAAATTGTTCTCATGATGGGACTTAGTGTGTCAGAGTGAGTGTGCGAATGTGAAGTGATGAAGAAGAGATGGTGAGAGAACACGAGCCTTCCACCATGCGTGATGCATTCCTTCTGAGAAAACGTATATGATAGGATGCTGGCTGAAGAGGCCAAGGATGTTAAAGCTTGAAGGGACTTTGTCTGCAAACTGTCTCATGTCCTGGGACGATTTTGAGTGCCTCCCGCACCCACTTCATCTGGCTCTCAGATCCTTAAGAAGCTGTTTTCAGGCTGGCGAGTGCTTCCCCAAACATCCATGCTCAGAGAACTCCCTGAGTTGGAGCATGTGAAGCAGTTACTGCATTAGGAATTTCAGCAAGTGCAAGGCATGTATAATGATTGAAGGCAGCCTTGTCTCCTGATAAAGAATCATTGTCAGAAATACATGAATGGGTTCCTCAGATCAAGCACTCCTCTTTTAGGAACAGCACCGGAAATCAGGGCAGGTGGGTGGATCGCATTGCTTCAGACTTCCTCAGCCTCTGGATGGAGTGCAACTCTTATCCCTCCCAGCCAGCGAAAGCACAGAGTTATAGTCCAGCATGTCTGGAGGGCAACAAGTTGGGCTCACCTCTGTCTCTGCTGCCACAGCTGAAAAGAGGAAAGTTTGATCCTTAGGAAACTGTTCATGTTTCTGACTGTGGTGGGAAGTGACTCATTAGTGATCACTGGTGCATTTCAGACTCACAGCAGCTTCACAACAAATGAGTGTGGGCCTTAAGAAGTGTTTTGGCTTATTTTCTATCACTGATTATACTATGAATGGGCCAGCAAGCCTGCATCTTAATGTGAATGCCAAGAACATGAGGGGATTCAAAGATTGTTTTGAGAGCTTTCATGTTCTCAAAACCCCCAGCCATTTGCTTGGCATCTGTAACGTAGGCCTAATGATTCCCTCAGTGTCACAGACATGGCTAGTGACCTGGGACAGATCACACTCTTACAAATTGAGTGTATTGCTGTCCTATCCCCACAAAAGCAGCTGAGTGGCCATCACAACCTTTTCTGCAGCCTCCTTTGACCTTAAAACAGAACTGATCATTTTTACCTAATCACAGATCTTTTGATCTCCTCCTCTGAATGTCAGGTGTGGGTATGTGGCTTGCTGAACAAAAGCATGATATATGAAGATCTCTTCTTTTAAGGTGATTTGGCAGACTTTTTCATTAGCAGCTGCTGATCAAAGACACGTTACAGACATGGGACCCCATCTTCCAAGGGGCCATTCCTTTTCAAAATTCAAGAAATATAATTTCAAAAAAAGACTGCCCAAAATCAAAGCAACTTGCCTGGGTATTTTATCAAAATTATGCACGCTAAGTAATTGTGCAGTGTTGCAGTAAAAATGTTTGTTTGTGCATCTTGCAAGTTATTCTGGAAACAGGAGAATTAAAACATTTAGCAATGTAAATTAAGATCCTCTTCAAGCTCTGGAAGATCAGATAATGCAA